GTGCTGAATGATCTAGAACATCTCAGATTTCCACAGGAGGCAGACAGGTAAGAGAAACTTAGTGTGTTGAGCACATCCCCACGGATGGCATCAAGAGCCCCAGTCATGTGTCTTGTAGCTCTGTTCTCCCCTAGAGGACCCTACTGCGACTAACCTATGTATACACACTTGGTGGCAAGTACATAGAGAAGCCTGGTGGGGGTAACACTGGCCTGTCACTCACTGTGCTAAATTCTTCAGCCTGAGCAATCCCCACTGTTCTCTTGATGGTTGAAGGAAGCCCCTACCCTGCTATGTGTGAGTATGGTCAGGCTGCACAGACCCAAGTGAGGCAGGTTTGTATGTAGCTCTGAAATGCCACTGACACAGTTGACTTGTGGAATAGTGCGGTATGGGGTGGGGGAGGGTTGAAAAAAGTAAGGGAGTAGATGCTCATTCCTTAGGTAAGACAATAGGGTTGTTTTATTTATTTTGTTTTGGTTTTCTTTTTGTGGAGTTTATTAGCTACTTAGCTGGTTTTGGTCCTATGAAGTTCAAAATAAAAATGCAAAAGGTTTTGGTCCCATAATCAAAAATTGAAAATAAAATGCAAAAGTTTAACCTTCTGGCTACTTTCTGAAGGTTCTGTCCTTTTGTGCCAGGCTGAATGGAGCAGATTGTGTGGTTTCAGTCTATCTCACAATCCTGAAGCCTTTGGGTCTATGCGAATTGACAGGGGTCTGGCAAGAATGACCACCTGACTTTGTCAGGCACTACCAAGGAGTAACAGAAATAACTGGTGGGCTGGGGCTCTGTACTGTCAGTCTAGCAAGAATGAAATCTAAAACAAGCAAAGATTCACTGGGGCAAAGGTAATCAGAGCCTTGAGGTCTGCCTGGGATTGTGTCTCTCTGGTTTTACTGTAGCTGTGGACATGGTGATCTCAGGCCAAATGACACATTCTCAGAAGCTGTTTCTCTGTGGAGGCTGCAGCAGACACACTCTTGCTTGTACCCTGTAGCACCTCAACAGGTGTATATTCTAAGTGTCTCTTAATTACTTAAAGTAACAGGGCTGAAGAGCTAGCTCAGTGGTTTATAGCTCTTGCAGACACCCAAGCTTTAGTCCCAGCAGCCACATGGTGGCTCATAGCCATCAATAAATTCCAGTTCCAGGGTATCCAACTCTTTCTTCTTATGTCAGAGGGTACCAGCACACAGAAGTTGCACATACTTGCATAAGAGCAAAACATTTATAATGCATATAACATAAAATATTTACATCTTTAAAATTAAATAATATTTCCAACCTCTCCCCATTTGTATGTATACCATTGTCCTGAAGGTGAGGCCCCCGGGGCAGGGTTTACTGCTGCCCTCTGCTTTAGGAGGGCTCAGAATTGTGTGTGGCAAGCATGGCAGCAGCTCATGGTCCACTGACTTTTGGATGAATTTGTTCACATAGCTCTAGGCAGATTAAGCATTGGACAGTCAAACGATGAGTGTGCTCAGAATCTGCAGAGTTTTAAAGTGTGTTCTTCTGTAAATTGTCACATTGAAAGTAAGACACATTATGTAGACCTCTTTGGCCAAAAGCTAGAATCATTGTGCCTCATGATTTATTATACATAGTCATCCCAGTGGTCAAGCATGGGTGAATTTTTAAGAATTTACTTTATTATTAATTTTTGTCTCCTTCAATCATAGCATCACAAAAAGCCAGTGCTGTGATTGAGAGTAGGCACATGCTGTAATCTTTTGTGATTTTTGTATTATCATTTTGACACATATATATGTGTAAATAGATAAAAATCTTATTTTATGTGTACAGTTTGAATCTTCCTTGCCCAAAATACTTGGGACCATAAGAGTTTTAGATTTCACTGTGTTTGAGTTTTTTTTTCCCTTTTGAATGTTTACATAAACTTTACTGATAAGGTGTGACTAAGTTGAAAATCTAAATGCTCACTAGGTTTCAAATTTGATAGCACCTTGAATTTCTTCTGATTGTTGAAGTAGTATATTCCTCCACGTTATTCATGGTGTAACTGTGGCTGTCATGTATTCGTCTGGGTTGGGTGCTCTTACCACAGTTCCGTTAGTCAGTTTCTTTCAGAGAACAGAATTATAGGAAGTTATGATTTAACGTCATGAGTTACAACTTCCCAGGACTGAGACAGGGTAACAGTAACAATGTGAACCCTGCTTTTAACATGGTAAAATGAACATTTAGGCTTAGAAGGGTCTATGTGAATGCATATTCTCAAAGTGATTAGCCTATTAAATATGAGTAAAAGATCTATTGAAACATTAAGGCAGAAACAATTCAGTGTAACAGAACGTTAGATGTATGTGGAACTTTAGCACCATATTGCTATCCTGTAAGAAACCACTCTTGGTTGTCAGTTCGGTCTCTGTGAGCTCCCGTGAGGCCAGTTGTGTCTGTGGGTTTTCTTGTGGTGTCCTTGACCCACCTGGCTCCTACAATACTTCCTTCCTTTCTTATTCAGAATTCCCCAAGCTCCCCCTAACTTATGGGTGTCGGTCTCTGTATCTATTTCTATCACTTGCTGGCTGAAGCCTCTCTCATGACAATGGGCTGGGCACCAATCTATGAGTATAGAAGAATATCACTGGCAGTCATTTTTTATCCTAGGTTTTATCTTTGGGTTCTGGTTCTCAGGCTGTGTCAGGGGTAGGCACTCTTGTGGCATGGGTCTCAAGCTGGACCAGTCATTGGTTGGTAAGTCCCACAAATTCTTTGCCACCTTTACCCCAGCACACTTCTCAGGCAGAACAAATTATAGGTGGAAAGGATTGTGCCTGGGTTGGTGTCCCAGTACCACAGCTAGAAGTCTTGTCTGGTTACAGAAGATGGCTGGTTCAGGCTCTGTATTGCTAAAAGTCTTAGCTCGGGTCACCGTCATAGATTCTCGTGAGTTTCCATGGCACTAGGTTTCTAACTTGTCCTAGAGATGCCCCAATTCCTGTTGTCTCTCCTAGTACTCTCTCCCTCCATGCCCCCCACCTAACCCCTCCTCTTTCCTTCCCTACTCCCCTCCAGGCACAACTAGGCTGCATTGTCTAGCCTTACTTAGTAGGAGAGGAGATGTGCAAAAATACAGCAGTGCCACTTGCCTATATAAACTCTTTTTGAACTCATGCTACTTAGCTTAATATTTCAAGCTCTTTTAAATTGCATTAAAAGTAATCTTTTAGAACTTTCCACAACTTTAGTTGACAACACAGTAGCGTGGCTGGGCGTGTGAACAGAAGCTCCTTAAGAGTCTTCCATGATCTTGAAGAGTGAAAAGTGATCCTAAAGAAGAAAAGTTTGAGCACTCTGGCTAAAGTGTATGTAACTGTGTTTTCTAATAAAATAATTTGAAATTCAGTTTGTTAGTTTTAATACTTTAGCTTCCAATCTGTGTATACTAAGCAATATAAATACCAAAAAGACTGATAAAGTA